CAGTCCCTAACACTCAATATAAGGTCCCTAACTCACATTCATACATACAAACAGGGGCAGGCTCACAACTCATGGGGCCCCCGGCCAATAGGAAATCATGGGGCCCCTGTGTTCTTGCCCACACTCAAACCACACCCAAAAAAGCCTATGAAAGGTACCAGGGGCATCTCATGGGGCCCCCTACTGACCTAAGGCCCCCGGGCAGTGCCCAAGTGCCTAAATGGTCAGTCCGCCACTGCATACAAATATTAGGTTCAATTTAGACAGGAGCCAATTCACGTACCAGGATGTCTTTGGAGTGTGGGAGGAAACCGGAGTACCCGGAGGAAACCCACGCAGGCACAGGGAGAACATGCAAAACTCCAGGCAGGTGGTAACTTAAACTGCTAGATGCACTGACTGTTTTTGGCCTTTTTTTTCCCTTTATTTTATTGTCCTGCCACTAACACATTTCCTGTCTTGATTGGCTCCTGCCTAAATTGTCCCTAGTATGTGTATGTATGAATGTGAGTTAGGGATCTTAGATTGTACACCCCTTGAGGGTTAGGGACTGATGTGAATGTACAATATATATGTAAAGCACTGTGTAAATTGACGTTGCTATTTAAGTTCCTGAAATAAATACATATGGGACATTTGGTCCCCTATAAGATATAAGTAAAGTTTCGGTAAAAGAAAGTGTGAAAAATTAAAGCCACATCCAAGTGTTTTAACGCCCCCCCCCAAAAAAGGTTTTGAGGCCACTCTAGCATGCACATGCCTACATGTTACATATCGTCATGCACGTTGGAGTGAAAAAGTAATGCTGAGCCCATTATTCATTGTTAACTCTGAAATCATGATCTTTATTGGGCTTCTGAGGAGTAGTCTATGTCTATGGACAATTTAGGGTACCCAAGTCCCTGTTTCACAGGCACACACTCTTTTAATGCTTGACATGTTGGGTATCTATTGACTTGCAACCTCCCCTTTGAAAATCAGTTTAACTGTCACAAGTTAGCTTGCAGCCTCTTGTTTGTTTGTCTTACCTCCTTGCTGTTCTTTCACATGTGTGTTTCTCTGTGCTCACCTATGGGCATCGTCTGCTATTCCCTGGGTTTTATGTGCTTTCCTTTCATCACTTCCTGGCCCACCTCCTAGCTGGCTTGTCTATTTAACCGCATGCCGCCCAGCCACTGTATATATACGGCGGCAGGGCGGCACTCGCAGGCAAAACCACGGTTTAAGACGTGTGTTTTGTAAACAAATAGGGGGCGCGCGCGAGGCGCGCCGTCGCCCTATCTGTCCTGTGGATCACCGCCGCAGATGTCAGTCGCCGGGTCACAGCCGGTCCTTAGCGGCTATATCCCGGCGATCGGCGGCAAACAGTGACAGAGAGCACAGCTGCAGTAGCTGTGCTCTCTGTCACCTCTCTGTCAGCTCAAGGATGAGCTGATCGAGAAAGAACAGTTTCTCTTTCTCGATCAGCCTTGTCCCGCCCAGTACACCCCCCCGCCCCCTAGTAAAACACACTCCCCCTCACTCCTATAACCCTTCCCTGCAAAATAAAGTTAACCCCTTCCTCCCCATTGCCATTAGTACAGTGTCAGTTTTTTTTTTTTTGCACTGATCACTGTATTAGTGTTTTTGGGGATGTCAGTGACCCCAAGTCAGTACCCCCCAATGTCAAAATGTCCGCCGCAGTCCCGCCATGAGTCGCTGGTCGCTGCCATAAGTCCCTGATCGCCGCCATAATTCGCTGATCGCCGCCATTATTAGTATAAAAAAACCCTAAAAATCCCAGTATCTTTCCCGCCATTTATAAACACTATAACTTTCACGTAAACCAATTAATTTACACGTATTGGGAGTTTTTTTAGCAAAGACATGTCGCAGAATGCATTTTGGCAGAAATTTATGACTAAATATGATTTTTGCATTTTTTTTTTACTGTACATGTTTTATAGCAAAAAGTCCAAAATATTGTTTTTTTTTCCTCAAAATTGTCAGCCTTTTTTTTTATAGCGCAAAAAAATAAAAACCGCACAGGTGATCAAATACCACCGAAAGAAAGCTCAATTTGTGGGGAAAAAAAGGATGTACATTTCATTTATGTACCGTATTGCATGACCGCGCAATTGTCCGTTAAACTAGTGCAGCGCTGTATAGCAGAAAAATGGCGTAAATTGCAGTATCTATACCATAGTTTGTAGACGCTATAACATTCACACAAAGCAATCAATATACACTTATTGGGATTTTTTTTTTACCAAAAACATGGAGCAGAATACATTTTGGCCTAAATTTATAACCAACTTTGAGTTTACTATATATTTTTTATAGCTGAAAATAAAAAATATTGTTTTTCTTCAAAATTTTTGGCCTGTTTTTGTTTATAGCGTGAAAAATAAAAAGCACACAGGTGATCAAATTACACGGAAAAAAAGCTCTATTTGTGTGAAAAAAAGGACGTAAATTTCGTTTGGGTGCAGCATTGCATGACTGCGCAATTATCAGTTGAATTAGTGCAGCGCCGAGTAGCAAAAAGAGGCGTGGTCATTAAGGGGGGTAAATCCTCTGGAGGTCAAGTGGTTAAGACATGCTCAGTCTGTCTCACTTCGCCTGAGCAACGTTTGTCGTCATCGCTGTGTAAGTCCCAAATTCCTCCCTGGTGACAAGGCTTGGCTCTCTACCAAGAATATCCGTCTATGAGTACCCTCTATGAAATTTGCTCCTCGTTTCATTGGTCCATTTACCATTCTCCGCCAGGTCAATCCTGTTGCTTTCAAACTGCGCCTCCCTTCACATCTGAGAATCTCTAATGTTTTCCATGTTTCTCCTCTGAGACCCTATATTATCAACAGGTTTTCCCGTCCTCATCGTCATCCTTCCCCAATAACGAGTACTTCGGATCAGTATGAAGTCAAGCAAGTCTTGGATTCTAAGTTCATCAGAGGGAAGCTTTTGTATCTTATTGACTGGAAGGGATATGGTCCTGAGGAGAGGTGTTGGATTCCTTCTGCTGATGTTTCTGCTCCCCGTCTGGTGGAATTTTTTCATCGGAGGTTTCCCCTTAAGCCTGGCCCTAAAAAAAAAAGTGGGGAGACCTCGTAAGAGGGGGGGTACTGTCACAAGTTAGCTTGTTTTGTTTGTCTTACCTCCTTGCTGTTCTTTCACATGTGTGTTTCTCTGTGCTCACCTATGGGCATCGTCTGCTATTCCCTGGGTTTTATGTGCTTTCCTTCCATCACTTCCTTGCCCGCCTCCTAGCTGGCTTGTCTATTGAAGACATGCTCAGTCTGTCTCACTTTGCCTGAGCAACGTTTGTTGTCTGAGCTCCCCTGTGGTCCTCTGAGAATCCGTTCTAGTATATCTGTGTACTGACCCCGGCTTGTCCCTGACATTCCTCCTATATTGTCTATCCATGTACTGACCTCGGCTTTGTTCCTGATATTGCCTGTCTTCCGCCTGTCCTGACCTCAGCTAGCCTACTGGATCTCCTGAGTCTACTGCCATCGTACTCTGCTCCTGCTGGCGGTCTCTTCTACCTCAGCTGGGTGTACCTGGGGGCCACGACCTGGTCCCAGCCTGCTGCAAGTCCATCCCCACCATCAGGGGCTCTGGTGAACAAGCAGGCTGGGGCTTAGACTCCGCGCCCTGGGGAACCCCAAGCTGTGGATTAAGAGCTCACTACCACAGGTGCTGACATTAACTACATGCAGAGATGTCTCCTCTCCCCTGTAGAACTGCTCTCAGCTTCACAGCCTGCAGACACTACCAGTCCTCCTGGCTGCTTTGAAGATCTCCCAGGACAAAGATAAAGGATTAAGCACAATGGCATGCTACATGTGGCAGGCTCTCCTCTTGTGAATCCCTGGGTGTGCTGATGTACTCTCTCTGACCTTCTTGCTCCCACTGCTCCCAGATATTGATGCTGTTCATGCCGTATTGATGGATGAACCCTCCTGAGCCAGCCCAAGCCCAGCCTGGGGTCTAAGCCCCCTCCCCTAGATGTAGAGGACTCCTCTCATGCTACCAACAGTCTCCTCAGCACTCTATCTTTCACCTGACTCCTCTTGCCGGCCTGACTATCCCATATTTATGGGCTGGTCCACCACTCTACCAGGGCCTTCAAACCTGGGATTGGTCAGACTCCCATAAACATGTAGATTAGGTCTCCATCTCTTCCACCCACTGGCTTCTGGGAGGTTCTATGGTCCTCCAGAGCCAAGTGGAGACGATAGACTCCCAAACTGTTAAGCCATCCAGCTCGACCTGCAGTAACCCGACCTTAATCACAGACTCACACAGTTACCATAAATCATACACAATAGATTAACCTTCACTACTCTACACTAGTAGCGTGTCTGCCATTCTATGGCCTCTTTGGAATTACCTTTGCATCAACTGTGGGTGTATAGGATTATACATTTTTTTATTTTTTTTTTTTTAATGGTTGAACTGGATGGATTTTTGTCTTTTTTTTCAGCCAGACTAACTATGTAACTATATGTACAGTTACAATACAATTTGGTACAAGAGGAAACTGAGGGCTTGGCTCGTTAGAGCTTACAATCTAGGAGGAAGGGTTGAGTGATACAAAAGGTAATAGCTGTGGGGGATGAGCTGATGGAGGATATAAAAGGCAGTTTACTAGTTAGAAGCAGGATAGGCTTCTTTAAGAGAACTGTTTTCAGGGATTGTCTAAAGGTGGATAGATTAGGAGATAGTCGGACAGATTGGGGTAGGGAGTTCTATAGGATGGGAGAAGCTCAGGAGAAGTCTTGGAGGCGAGCATGGGGGAGGTGACACGGGAACTAGAGAGAAGAAGGTCTTGAGAGGATCGAAGAGAGCGGTTTGGTAGATATTTTGGGACCAGGTTGGCAATGTAGCTGGGGGGCAGAGTAGTGTATGGCTGTGTAAGTTGTTGTTAGTATTTTGAGTTTTTATTCGTTGGGCGAGTGGAAGCCAGTGGAGGGATTGGCAGAGAGGGGTGGAGGACACTGAGTGGAAGCCAGTGGAGGGATTGGCAGAGAGGGGTGGAGGACACTGAGTGGAAGCCAGTGGAGGGATTGGCAGAGAGGGGTGGAGGACACTGAGTGGAAGCCAGTGAAGGGATTGGCAGAGAGGGGTGGAGGACACTGAGTGGAAGCCAGTGGAGGGATTGGCAGAGAGGGGTGGAGGACACTGAGTGGAAGCCAGTGGAGGGATTGGCAGAGAGGGGTGGAGGACACTGAGTGGAAGCCAGTGGAGGGATTGGCAGAGAGGGGTGGAGGACACTGAGTGGAAGCCAGTGGAGGGATTGGCAGAGAGGGGTAGCAGACACTGAGTGGAAGCCAGTGGAGGGATTGGCAGAGAGGGGTAGCAGACACTGAACGGCTGGTAAGGTGGATGAGCCTGGCAGCCGTATTCATGATGGACTGGAGGGGGGATCACCTATGTAAAGGTAAGTCAATGAGGAGGGAGTTGCAGTAGTTGAGGCGAGAGATGAACAGGGAGTGAATTAGGAGCTTTGTGATATTTAGTAAATGTACTATACAGTTTGCTTGTGGTGTGTCTGAGTAATGGATTGTGGTAAATTACATTGACTTCTCTGAATCTGGGTGTGTCTATTATTAAATTAGATCAGAAGCACATTAAAAATGCAAAGAAATGCAGTTCTTTTACCGTAAGCACTTTCTAAACTCTTAAAGCTGAATTCCAGAATTGCTATAAAAAAAAAACCACGCACCCTTGTAGTGGGCCCCCCCCCCTTGCACTGCAAAGATTAAATGCTAATTGAGTCTTGGTGTAGAGAAAAAGGCGCAATGTCCAATTTCTCCATCTGGCGTTCTTCCCTTCTCTCTAGCACCCTGAGTTGTAGGCGAAACCCCGGTGACTTCATGTACAAAGCAGGGTTATTTGCCCTGCCCTGTACCTGGTGACATCAGTGTGCGATCAATGCCTTCAAACAGAAGCAATGTGAGTGCAGTTGCACATTGTGGAAGAAGCAAGGAATCAGGTAAGTACTTCAGAGGCAGTTTTTGTTTTGTTTTTTACCCTGGCATGGTGCTTAATGCCGCATACACATCCTGCATTACATTTTTGGCTCCTTTTTTTTGCACGTTTTTTGCACAACAGCATAGGGCAGTCCATTCATTTGACTGGGTGCCCTTAGCATGTCAAACGTGCCAAAGTACCATAGCTCCTGCACCTTTTTTTGGCGGTGAGTTTTGGCTCATTTTTTGCACAACTGTTACCCACGTTTGGGTTGCCATTAAGAAACAATGGACCAAGGTCCTCCTGCGCTATAAATGGAAGTGTGCCTAACATGAAGCTGCCAACACTCAAAAAAACTGATACCTTAACAGTGTCAAACATTAAACAAATAGTGCAGCGCTCATAGGAAAAATATATATAATAAATATTAAGTGTAATTCATAACTTAAAAAGTGCTAAGCACTGCTTAGCACTTTTTAAGTTATGAATTACACTTAATAATATTTATTATTTATTATATATATTTTTCCTAGGAGCACTGCACTATTTGTTTAACATTAAGAAACAATGTCACTGCAAGTGCAATGCGTATTTCGGTGCATTTTCATCCGTTTCTGAAAACGAGCAAATCTGTGTGTTTCTGCCCCCGTTCCTGGAATGTGAATGCAGCCTTTACAGTGTTACTAAACCCACAACAGTAAAATCAGTCTAAATTCAGTAAAGCATGCTTGTTATACTCACTGTGGAACCTAAGGGGTTAATCCCCTGCAATGTGTAAAAAGACCATTTGATCCTATATTCTCTGATCCTCCCCTTCTTTTTCGGTCCCCAATCCACTTGCTATTGTACAGAGCAAAAGTTGAAAGTCTGAACATACTCTGTTTAGTGTGTATTGCTAGAAAGTATTTTTTTTGGGGGGAGGGTGCATGTGATCAGCACAGGACCAACCAGCACTCTCCATACAGAGGGTCAGGGGTCTATACTATATAGTTGTAAAGGTGCCATGCAGGGGGATTGTCCGCTCCATCTCCTTTTTTTTTCCCTCCCCTTTCCATCACTCACTACCCGGCCTCCTTGCGTTTTTAATTCATATAAAGAAAGCTGGCAACCGTACATTCCCTAGACTTGACAAAGCGCATGCGCGTGAAACGTGTTGTCACAGTTGCCAGCACAGCTTGCGTCTCATGCCCAGGACTCAGCTTCCGCCCTCATCCAGGTCGCGGTGACGCCACATCCGGAGCGCTGCGATCCCCGGCCGGCTCAGTCACACATCACTGTACAGCCTTCCTTCCCGGCTCGGAATCACTGAGGAGCAGACGGTCCACCGCACAATCATGCCACAGACTGCACAACTTGTCATCCTATTTAACCCCTTGGTGCCGGCGCCTCCCGACCATTTAAAGGTTTCAGAAGCCGGGAGGCGGGGCGGGGTTTTAAGGTCATGTGACCGCCGTGATTCGCCGTCACATGATCGGGAAAGGTCGCGATCGAAAGAGGAGATCGGGACCTTTCCGGGAGTACCGGACATGTGTGTGCTGGGAGCGCGCAGGGTATTTCTGATCCTGCGGTAAAAAAGGAGAGCGGCCATGCCAGGATCTTCAGCTTCCATTAGCAGGTTCTTTAAAGGCCCATTTACACAAAGACATTATGGTTAATATTTTACCACAACAACAACTCATTATGCACACATTGCCATTCAAAGCACGAAATCAGCCTTTCTCAGCCAGGGTATCTTGGAAACTTAGAGTACCTCCAGACATTGCTTGGGGTTCCTTGGGCAATGCACAATTTCTGCCTCTCGAAACCACTGACACCTGTGATCTTTTTAGCTCTCTGTAAGGGGGATTCTTCCCAGTGGCCATCTGACTTATGTACCCTGAGCTGTAGATATTGCAATGATTAGCAAAGGTACCCTGAGACCACAAAGTTATTTCAAGGATTCCTCCATGTTAAAAAGGTTGCACTGAAGGAATGCTCCTGTAATGCAGTGTATAGTAACACATTAACAGTATTAGAAAGAAAATGCTGCGTGTTTAATTTTGGATTCGCTATGGTACATTGGTTCCCAATTCAAATGAATAGGCTGCTTTCATGCGACGCAAGTTAACAGACCATAACTAACCAGATAGATCTGACATGGACCCTTGACCTTGGTAAATGATACATTCAGTACATAGGTGTTTATTTCTAAGCAGCACTGTAAGGAAAATGTGTAATAATAGCCAACATGGCCAAGCAGGCTACACAGCAAAGACCTCCATGCAGTATAACCTATTTTAAATATGATCAGCGCTTAGAGGGTTTACACTATGGAGAGGTCCATTTCCACAGGTGTCAAACTGGTGGCTCTCCAGCTGTTGTGAAACTACAAGTCCCATCATGCCTCTGCCTTTGGGAGTCATGCTTGTAACTGTCAAGCTTGCAGTGCCTCATGGGACTTGTGGTTTGGCAATAGTTGGAAGGCCGCCAGTTTGACACCCGTGATTTGGACCCTTTAATTCTGGGATCTTGGTCAACGAATAGGGGGTACACTATGGAGAGGTCCATTTCCACAGGTGTCAAACTGGTGGCCCTCCAGCTGTTGCAAAACTACAAGTTCCATCATGCCTCTGCCTTTGGGAGTCATGCTTGTAACTGTCAATCTTGCAGTGCCTCATGGGACTTGTGGTTTGGCAAAAGTTGAAGGGCCGCCAGTTTGACACCCATGATTTGGACCCTTTAATGCTGGGATTTTGGTCAACGAATAGGGGGTACACTATGGAGAGGTCCATTTCCACAGGTGTCAAACTGGAGGCCCTCCAGCTGTTGCAAAACTACAAGTTCCATCATGCCTCTGCCTTTGGGAGTCTTGCTTGTAACTGTCAATCTTGCAATGCCTCATGGGACTTGTGGTTTGGCAACAGCTGGAGGGCCGCCAGTTTGACACCCCATGATTTGGACCCTTTAATGCTGGGATTTTGGTCAACGAATAGGGGGTACACTATGGAGAGGTCCATTTCCACAGGTGTCAAACTGGAGGCCCTCCAGCTGTTGCAAAACTACAAGTTCCATCATGCCTCTGCCTTTGGGAGTCTTGCTTGTAACTGTCAATCTTGCAATGCCTCATGGGACTTGTGGTTTGGCAACAGCTGGAGGGCCGCCAGTTTGACACACCATGATTTGGACCCTTTAATGCTGGGATCTTGGTCAACGAATAGGGGGTACACTATGGAGAGGTCCATTTCCACAGGTGTCAAACTGGAGGCCCTCCAGCTGTTGCAAAACTACAAGTTCCATCATGCCTCTGCCTTTGGGAGTCTTGCTTGTAACTGTCAATCTTGCAATGCCTCATGGGACTTGTGGTTTGGCAACAGCTGGAGGGCCGCCAGTTTGACACCCTGTGATTTGGACCCTTTAATGCTGGGATCTTGGTCAACGAATGACACAACTCTGACACTTGTAAAAGCAATAAATCGTTGGGTTGTTAGGTCCACGTTCATAGGTATACCATACAGTATCTGTATTCCAAGAGCAATTTTGATGTTCAAGTTAGTGCATGTTATTCTTTTTTCTCTTATTTTATCCAACTGTTGGTACACGTACACGCGGAGGAGGTGTGCTGTTTAAACATACAAGTAGGAACAGCCAAGGCATTTTCTTTTTATTCATTTGTCTGTAAGTTGATTGTTTCCTGCAAGTATGATCACATTTGGGTGGTTGCAAACAACGTATTTCATATTCATGTTTAGAGATGCTGCTTGGACAAGGGTCACGCTATTTATGGACCATGTTTGGAGCAATAAAGAACACTTTATGTTGTCATGGTCCCTTCATCCTTTCTCTCGAATAAAATAGGTACGAAGGTAATGAACAGCATGTGCACCGATTCTTCTCATTGGACAGCATACCATGATAAGTCCTGGATGACAGATCCTAATGCTTTGATGATGACCGTATCTCCATTTCCTGTTCTGGTACAAAGATCAGCCTGTCTCCTTTTAAAGCCCTTGCATTTTGTGGATAAAAGACAGTCATTAAATGGAAGCTTTTTAGCCTGCAGCTCATTAGTTTCAAGGCTGTGAAGTATCTAGGGAAGCTTAATAGTTCACATCTGTCCTTCTCTTGGATACCATTTCTGTCATAACTATCTCCCTATTGGGCATGATGTGTAGATCTGTAGAAACAGATGAATTATTTAATGGAAACATGTACTAGGTGAAATATGACGCTGCAACTAAAAACTGGTCGCTTGGCTGACCTGCTCATCTGATGACATCAGTCTATTCTTAGTCACTGATAAGGATGAGCGCAGGTTTTGGCCAAACTTGGGTTCAGTCAATGACATTGACCTAATATAGCCATGTGGCCATAATATATCATTGTTGTCACGAGCATCCCTGCCCCTTTGTGTAAGTGCAGCTGCAGTGTGGGGAATGCCCAGGCTGCAGTTGATTGGGTGGCAGTGGGTGGGAGAGACAGCTTCAGCTTCAATCTGAACCCAAGTTTGGACCAAACCCAAGTTCATCCTTAGTCCCTGACCTGGAC